AAAAATAATAGTGAGCAACACATACACACAGTACATGTAGTATGTGTGTTGCTCACTATTATTTTTTATTAGACTTACAAACTTAGTTTCAGTGATGCCATATTGTTCTTTCATTTGGCCGGAATAGCAAGCTGCTTTCGATCTGTACACGTAAGCCATTTAATTTGTATATTACACAAATGTTTCCGTGAACTGACAGTTTTTAGGTTAGAAAGGTGCAAAAGTGCAGAATCACTCCAGCATCCCCTTAAACTAACAATAGGATCAAAGTTAAACTTACCGCGCCGCGAACGCGAGAGGTCTGAAATTGCGCGCGAGTCGCACGCGACGGATCGGCGAGCGTTTCGCGTCGTTCGGGCGTCAATTGCACCTTCGTGTGCCTTTTTGCGACAACGAGAAGGGAGTCGCGGCTCGATCCCTTATCGTCGGGCGATTGTCAGCGATCGCAACGCGCGCGCGATAACGCGCGCCGCGCACCTGACAAGCGCGGCCGACCAATGCGAGCGCGCGCCCGCGCCCGCGCCCGCCGGCGGCCATCTTGCGCGGCCCCGCTTTCGCGTCGGAGTCGCGTGGCCCGCCGCTGCCTTCTCAGTGTACGCCGACAGTCGAGCGCGGCTGACTGGGTGTTTGGAGTTGGACGATTTTCGACCGCGCGCGAGCCTCCCGTTTGTCATCGACGCTGAAAGAGAGAGAGAGAAAAATAGGGAAAAGTGACACCCGGCAGCGAGATCCGAGGGTCGCTCGAACGGCGAGCGTCAGCGATGACGCTCGACGCGCGATATCGCGATTTTTGATCGAGCGCGATCGGTGTCGTCCTGTGTGTGCGCGCGCGCGCGACGTCTGTGACACGTCCTTGTTTATATTTCGCGCGTCGCGGCGATCTCGCGCCGCCCGCCTCGTAGATCGCTCTCTGTGCAGCTCGTCGAGCGTCCCGTCGCGAGGGAGGATGAATTAATATCCTGGATTACACGTCGGTAGCGAAACGGCAGCGGCCGGCTCGATCGGGTTTGCATCTACCGCGCCGTCAACGACGCTCGCCGATGCCGACGTGAACACCGAGGCCGCCGCTTCCAGGGACTCGCGAGAAGGAACGTCCGCAGACGCGGCGCGGAGGTAGGGTGCAATTATAACCCGCGGTCTTGTTTCAAGGCGTGGAATAAGACGTGCATCGACGTACGCGTGGAGAATTTCGCACACACGAGTGCAATTTGTGAGCCACGCGAACCCCATTGTATCGATTGTGTTCCCGCTTGAATTTGCAAGTGATTTTCGCACGCGCGGGAAATGCCGGTTTACGTTCTTTAAAGATACATCAGCTCGAAAAACGGTTTTATCCCTTTACCTCTTTTTTTCTTTCTTAGTTCCTTCCATCCGATTGTATATTTAGGCGCGTGGCGAGCAAATGTTGTCGGCCTGCACGAATGCAATAGTCGCCCAACGCGAAATGGATGTTGTCGTTGACGCTTGCATAATAAGACGCGCTAATAAGGACGCGACCGCGTAAACAGCAGGGACCACCTGCGCGCGCGCAAATGGCAGGAATTTAAATCGCGCGATCCCGTCGCGATAGGCGACCTTGATTATGCAGCGCGGCAGTGGCATCCCTGCTGGGCAGAAAGCGTGTCGCGTAAACGGCATTAATCGCGTCCTGCGCACGGCGCAGGAGATCCGAACTTACAATTAGCCGTGCACTTTCGCCGGGATTAGCGTCCGTCTGTCGCGCCTGTGTCGAACGTTGGCGCTTCGACTCGCGAGAATGTTGGAAGAATTTCCCCGGTTTTCGCCAACGTCGCTTAATTACACGGAAGGAATTTTTTTAATTTACCCCGAAGATTATATAATCGTGGAACGACACGGCATTTCGGAGAATTTTGTGAGTTTTTTTTGAAATTTTACCGTAGATTTTACTTGGCGTATATTTTACTAGTAAAATGTATGGCGAAATTTGAAAAACTCTCGTAAAGTTCTTCAAAATGCCGTGTCCCACGATCACATATGATTTTCAGGAGAAATTTTCGGAGAAAATTCTCTTCGTGTATAAAAATTATATAATCGTAGGACAACGGCATTTCGAAGAATTTTATGAGAGTTTTTATGAAATTTTACCATACATTGCACTAGTAATTATACTTACAATTAGTGTGCATTTTACTAGTAAAATGCATGGCAAAATTTCAAAAACTCCCATAAAGTTCTTCAAGATGCCATGTTGTCCCACGATCACACATGATTTTCAGGATGCATTTTACTTTATGTATGAAAATTATATTGTATAATCGTAGAACAACGGCATTTCGGGGAATTTTATGAGGTATTTTTTGAAATTTTACCATACATTTCACTTGGTATACATTTTCCTAGTAAAATGTATGGCAAAATTTGAAAAACTCTCATAAAGTTCTTCAAAATGCCATGTTGTCCCACGATCACACATAACTTTCAGGTTAAATTTTAAGAGAAAATTTTCTTTTTGTAGTTTAAATCTACAGGGATAGATAGAAAGAGACAGGGAGAATTAAACTAACAATAAGATCAAAGTTAAATGACGTTGGTGGATACCGGGGTTAAAGTTCTGTACTTCGAGCCTGAAATCGAAATGCACCCTAGACGAGTAGGAGAAACTGACAATTTCCTTATTTACCTTGAAAATAGAATATTTGCGGAAAGCCGCTCTGATATTTTAATCGCAGAAATGCCATCCAGTTGATATAATTGTGAATAACGGCTTGAATATTTCACCATTTATCTTTAATGTCCTCCTTTATGTAATCCGGAAAGTTACATCTCGAAAGAGATGTCATTAAAACCCTATAAAGCTTCGATCTTATAGCTTTAAGATGATATCAAATAGCAACGCGATCGTAACCGGTTTATTATGCGGAGCTTCATTAGTCCACGATCTGTGCAATTAGTACCATAATTGTTTTATTCGACCGCGGAGATAAAATTGTTGATCTAAAAAGCAGATATTGCTCATCCGCTGGATTGTTAAATGCAAACGATAAGTAAAAAGGAGCCAGCTCTCGATATCATCTGGAGCATAAATATATAACGATAATCTGGATGTAGCGCTGTCTTGTGCAGTTTTATGATACATCATACAGTACGCGCAAACTTGATATATCTTCAGCAAGATAAGCTAGCCTGGAAATGTGCAATTAAAAACGCATTCTAAGCGCTAAGAAGGTAGACATAATATTGCGACGTACACCTACTTTATTTGCGGCGAGAGACGGATTTGCGTCGCGCGAATCGATTGTTTTCGCGCCTCTCTTCAATTCGTCGGTCCATTGTCGTCCGGGAATTTCTGCCGATCGTCTGCCCATACATCATTGTTCCTTCCCAAGAACAATAAGCCGTTTAGCGTGTTCCACCGTGCACTTGTGTTCGCCTTTCGCATCTGGAATGCGAACGAAAGCGAACCGGAGTTTACCTCGTATAGACACAATGACAGTTTACCTGTTTTCCGCTCGGTTATGTGACTCTGCTCGATGTTATTTCATTTTAACGCTAAATATACGAGACACGCGATTCACCATGTGAAAGTTGTAATTGCTGCAACGGTGAAAATCGAATTTTATTCTTTTCAATGATTTTTATACACGGAGAGAATTCTCTATTCAAATTTATCCTGAAAATCGTGTGTGATCGTGGGACAACATGGCACTTCGAAGAGCTTTATGAGAGTTTTCTAAAGGTTTACCAGACATTTTACTAGTAGAATGTATACTTGTAAGTATAATTGCTAGTGAAACGTATGGTAAAATTTCAAAAAACTCATAAAATTCTTTGAAATACCGTGTTGTTCCACGATTGCAATATTTTCAGGATAAATTTTAACAGAAAATTCTCTCCGTGTACCTTTCTATTTATGACATAAACAAGTTTTCGGATCGACAGAGCACCTCACCGTTTGCATAGACGCACAGTATGTTTCTCATCGTCCCTCCTACTTTCCTTATTTTTCGCGATGTATCTTAAAAGAGATTTCAAATAATACACAGGAAGTTCGACGAATCATCGCGTCAGTTCTTGAGTAACAGCGATTTATATTTTTTATTCTTTTATGAAAAATATAAAAAATATAAAACGGTAGAGAAATTTTAACCAAACATTGATCCGTCAATTGTGAGTAGATAAGTTTAGTTTTAAACGATATATTGTTATTTGTTTATTCTGTGGTTTGTTGCACGAATATCGCAGTAGTATTATTTTCCCCGATTATTTTATTCGCTTCTTTATTTCCTCGGGAAATTTTAAGGTAATTAATCGCATTTAAAAAATCAATTCCAGATTTTGGTACGGTAGAGTTTGATAAAGATTGAATTTGCTTTATTCAATTTATCATGACGGTTGCATTTTACGTGCATTGCAATATTTCATCGAATCACAGTAAATTGACGTAATTTAAAAAAATGTTATTTTATTTCGCTTGCTATCGCAGTATAAAAAATGATATTTTTATTTGCTGGAAATGCTGTTTTATTGTTAGTAACGGGCAGAGAAAGAATTATTGGGTCTTAATGCGATCGCTGGCACCTACCGTCCATGGTCTCCCGCTTGTTTTCTTCTTTCGATCTTGAATGCGAGATTGTGTTGAGCAGAAATTTTACGAGGCCGTCATAACATTCGTGGCGTTTCGGCGTAGAGAATAAACGGAGTTGTTCCGCCGCATCGGCGGCGGTGCCAGACATCTCCTTCATTAAAATCTAATTAAATCAAGCGAACGTGAGTGTGGCGCGCCTTTGTCGCTCTTATCGCGGTTCAATGTTTACCGTTAGACGCCGATAAGCTCGGCGATACCTGTAGTCATTTTACGCGAGGCAAGTAATTATATTCGGTTATTTACGAGGAAGTCAGAAGCAAGATTAGATAGTCGGAGTGTTAGAATTTAAATTTCTTAAATCTTTTTTCGAGTGTCTTAAAACTTACTCGCGATTTAACTAATTCGGAAACTAAACGCACACATCTTTGAGGGTGGGTCAATTCGATCCTACAGAAGTTCCGATCAAGTGTCTCTCGCAATCAGAGGCTAAAATTAATTTCTTCGACGGTGATGATGTGTGAAATTTCGAGTCAGCTGCATACAACTATAGCGTGGTGCACGTATAAATAGACGTGTGTCGAAATATTCGCGCAAGCATCCTTTCCGTTCGCCACAGTGCTGTCTGACTCATGCTGGACATTTTTTTTTTAAAGCAAAGAATTTGTACAGGCCGCTCCATTCTGCGCGAATCCTGCGTTTGCACAAAGATGCTGACGTTCTCCTCGGCCCTCGTCGCAAAACGCCTGCCCACGCATTGCCTCGGGCCGTAGGTATATACAGGGTGTCACATGATAGTGCATTGATCGCCGAGCATGGTTCTTAGATGAGCGATGCCTAGGAAGCTGCTGGCTTACGGGACGCGACGTGAAAGATTTAGCTACTCGTTAACGCGCCGATTTTCCTCAGCGTAATCCCGCAAAAGCGACTGCACTTAAAATGGGACAAAGCGAAATTACTCTAATTGAAAGAAACGTACACAGAGCCTTTCTTCCTTCGTGACTTTATCATCCACGTTTTTGTCTCTTGCAGCGCTCGCTGAGATATTGCGAAGTTCTTTTGTCATACATTTACTTTATTTCACGTTGGCACAGTGGCATAACCAGAAACTTCAAAAGGTCCCTCGTTAACAGAGCCCCTGTCTTATTCGTCTTATTATAGAGAAATATTCTTTTTGTGTTCCAACACACGGCGAAGACATACATTTAACTTCGTAGTCGTTGCAGCGACGAGAATGAGAGAGAGAGGGGGGGGGGGGGGAAGATCTATTCATTTCTTTATATAATACAAGTTCATACTGAATGCACACTGAATCGCTTCTTGATTGTTGTTTCGTCGGGAGGCGCCCATGCATTGTGCAGTGCGTTTAATATAAGTATTTTGCGATTCACCTGAACAGTTACGTACAACGGTTTAGGCGGACTGAAAGAAATGATTAAAAAATTAATGGTAATGCTAAAATAAAATAAAAACCGAAAAGCAAGAAAGTATATAATTTTAATAAATAGCACAATTCGTAGCGAATATAAAGTTCTCCCAATTCCGTGGGTCATACCGTCTTTCAAATTGTATGAACGCGGCTGAATAAATAACAGCATCATGTGAGGCTATTTTGTATGACATTCAATCACGCTTTAAACTTTATCGTTGTACCGCGAAATCGTACGAGGGAATGGAGAAAAATAATTATGCCCAGAGGCACCGACTTTTAATCATCTCGGCTGCATGATGAGCATGCGAAGTGTCAACGATGAAAATCGATGGTGTATTCGTACGGACGGGAATTCATAAATAATTTATTCGCGACTGCCCGATCGATATGAATGACAGAAAACCGAGCGAGAGCATGCACGCGTAACACGAATATAATTATGAAAGTACGCGTGACGAAATTAACAAGCGGTATGAAACAGGGTCAACCAGTTTCATCCGTTGGCACACTTCAAGCCGTATTTGGACGATCATAATAATTCCATTGCCGTCGTGATGATCGTGTGAAAATGCTTAACCCAAGTATCATTTTTAGCAATTTCTTGTAAATCGGTCTTATGAAAATTGGAGAAGCTTAACTCTTTCGTTTCACATCGATATTGCGTGTCTTTATCACGACGAAACAATCAGGATTGCTCCCCCGTCTTCTCACTAAAGTTTTAATCTAATTATTTTCATAAAACACATTGACGGACTTTGTATAAGGTCCTGATTTTGTCTGTGGCTACACGTAAGCACTAAAAGGGGCTACATGTCGAAGGGAGCGTAACTTCGCACGGGATCTCCCGGTTATGATTTCATTAAAACTTCGTGAGACTTTACTCAACAGAAACGATTCCGGAAGCTGTAACGGTTTCTAAACTCAACTTGGACGAAGGCTATAAAGCTTGAATATGATAATGTACAATTCTCTCTCTCTCTCTCTCTCTCTCCCCCCCTCTCTCTCTTCTTTTACATTTGCACCTGAATATTACTTTAAAACTTTTTTCAATCCCGAAGACCCCTGATGCCTATCGTTTTCCGAATACATTAATTCTGTTATCTATTCATTCTTGTCAAATTGTCTCGTGAATATAATTTTGTTTACGAGATACGCAAAAATAAAACAATTTTGACCACAATCAACTTTTGTAACATAAAGTTCGTTAATTATTTTTAGCGACAGCTATTTGACTTTCTCGAGGTAAAATATACAGCGCGGACTGCAATCTGTTATCACGCGGATCAAGACGAGAATTTTGCGCGAGGCTTGCACCGTATTTCCAAACTCATTATTCGGGGCAGCTGCACCCGCTGGAAATTTCTCGAGGCTTTTCAGGCACCCGCACTTGATAAAACATCGCCACGCGATGCAGAAGCGCAGAGCCTATCGGTGTTTGGATAAGCTAGCGTGAAAATAAAGGTCGTGTTAATTTATGTCGAGGCAGGATGTTTCATAAATTTCACACGATATGTTTGGTGAAGCATCCGGTACTGCTGATTCTCGTTAGTTTCCAGCGATCGCAGTGATGCCGATAGCCATTGCTGTTTGCTACGAAGAGAAGACTGTTTTGAACGAATCTATATCTTTGTTATATTGCCTGCTGCCAAAATTATCTTCGACGACTTTTTTATCGCGCTATTATCTGCTACTCCCGCCAAACTGTTTCGGGAGCAATTCCAAGCGGAACAAAGTCATTTAGAAGTCAAGATGGCATCAAAGAGTAATCATTTCTAAAAAGTCAAGATGATATCATTTGAGGGTGTGGTGCTGGAGTAAAACAAAAAGTATAACCGCGTCGATGAAAGTTTAGGCGGACCATTATTTCGTTTGCCCTAGGTTTGCACGCGAAACTTGGAATTGATTCACTTATATTTAACGAGTTTGTGAAAATATGTATTTGAGTTTTGAAGCCTTGACATCCTGATATTTTATTCATCTACAAGAGATAAAATAAAAGCCCAAGAATACAAAATATTGAGCATTGTACTTTAACATAAGTCATATTCTTATCGTAATAATCAGTTTGGTTATAAATATCATTTTCCATCCATTACTATCCATTATTATCATATTTAAGATTCTCACATACAAATGTGAGTATCGGAAGTAATTAAATTATCGCGAACCACGTCAAACGGTATCTCTCAATATTGTTTCTGATCAATTTCTGTCACGATGGAAATATTTGCATCCAGTCCATTATTACCATATTTAAGTTCTAACATACAATTGTGGGTATCGGAAGCAATCCAAGCCCAAATTATCGCGAACCATGTCAAACGCTATCTCCCAATATTATTTTTGATCAATTTCTGTCGTGATAAAAATATTTGACAATCATCACGATACTATTTTGACTCCCTTGTTCCGCTTGGGGTATAAAAGAGAAGCGCGCCACCGTCTTGCGGCGAAAAGTTAATAATTAAGACCGCGTATATTTCGAGTGCACAGAGGCCGGAGACGGGTTGAACAAAGCTTCGGGTGTTCGTCGGCCCCCACGTCAAACTCTCGGTGTCGATCGCAATCGATACAGTCGCGTTGCTTTTTCCAGCGGCGAGCCTGAATGGAGTTTCTATCCGCGTTACTCCGGTCGCTTCATTCACACGTCGCGTCGGGTGAATGTTACGTTCGATTCGCATTCATCCGTTCCGCCGGCTACCGCAAACAGCGTGGCGTCTATCGCCTTTCCCATGTCCCCTACGGTGCAGCGATGCGTTTATGCATATGCATACACCTGCAGCACCGGTAATTCTAGTTCGATCGCGCGCCGGAATACGCCTCGTCGCCCGCGGTGCTTAACAATTCTCACATCTTTCCGGACCTTTAAGACAACGGGTCGGCGCTAAAGATATTTTAACGCGGTTACAAGACTGCGACGGCTAGCTGTTACTGTCGCTGCACTTTTAAATCGCCCGGTGGTATGTATTTATAGAACGCCAACCGCAGGGCCATGTAGGCTGTATGCATCGCGAGCCGCTCGTAACAGTGTTGCGAAATTTGGACCGCGAGGACGCGAGCACGTGCTCATAATTTAAACCCCCGTACGCTAACATTTTTATCGCACGAAACGATGTTTTCGGTACCGTGTGTTTTCAGAGGTAAATCGCATAGGCGCGGCCTGAGAAAAAGGTTTGCGTAAATCAAATTCCAGCGCGAACCGACGTGGAAAGTTAGAGGTCGGTCTGTAACATACTATCGTCATATAGTGCTCTGCAAATAATATTCGATTAAATTACGAAAGTAACAACGGTGAATGTTATTGAACTTTTACGGCGCTCTATTCCATTCTAGTTTCCTCGCTGCTGTCTGCTTTTTTAAATAGCAGCAATATTTTAAATAACACCAGATGACATTGGAGCTTTTATAAAAATATACGTGAAAGTTAGATGCACAAAGTGAATACAACAATCTCCTCACAGAATACACGCGTCAACGTTCCTTAATGTTATAGAATGAAAAAAATTGATTAAAATAATCAAGTCATTTTTTAAGATGAGAAAAAATGAATGCGGAAATATAAATGGCAGTTTCACAATCAGTTGTATTTAAAGTTCGCGTACGAGAGACAATACGAATCTGTTATTGCCATAACTTCTGCGTAAGAAGTTTCGTTGAACAACAACGTAATACTTTATCGTAATATTTTTTTGCCCGATTATATTTTTTAAGCAATTTTAACTGCCAATGCGATCGACTTAATATTAATTATGTTTTATTAATTTTTCTTCTCAATAATGAAGTAAGATTTAAATCATACAAAGCTCAATCGTTTGAAAAGTATCTACGTATTTGAAAAGGCAAACCTGGTTCGTTCTTCGAACCGGAAGTTGGTGTCTGAGCGTTACGCCTCACCGATTTCCTGGTTCTTCGTGATCTTCCTTTCCTCCACCGACAACACATAGGATATATCTCATTGGCAACGTATGTTACAAGAATTATTTATGTCGAAAGGGTAAATTACATTGTTTGTAGATACTTGCCTTGCAATTTTCGCAAGAAATCCATTTACGCGAAATTATTTCTCTTCCTAATTTGGCAGTTTCTGGAAACTAGAACAAATCCAAGGTAAAAAGGAATAATTGAAAGATTAATTTACTCATTCGCGAGTCTGTACAGTTTCTCAGGATAATACCGTGAGATTATAGACAAGTTACAGTTGGTTCTAAACGATTTAAGACGTTAATTATAAAGTATAATTAACACTCAAAATACTGTAAATTCGTAAGTGTTAACGGATCCTTATCAGCAATCTTACATTATCTTTTTACAAATACACATGCTCAATCTTTATGAGCGTCGTTGGCGCAGCTCTTTGTTTGGCTCTTGTCGTGAAATTGCGCGCGGGGGGGAATACGAAACAAATCGTGAGAGGAATTCCTAATCGCAAAGGGACAGACAAGCTGCTTGGCAGTTGTAAACTCGGTTTTATCTCCAATTTGATAAACACCGACTTCTCGTTAGAAAGGAAGTGCCGCGTTACAGCTGAATAGATTGGAGGAAATACCTTTCACCCGGATGGATATCTTAATTCAATGAGGCTCTTGTTGAATACGCAATATAAACTATTTAAGTCACGTTTTAACAAAAACTTAACGCACTTTTAATAATAATTTCCAAAAATTACTAGTATTGTTTTGAGTGGAACATATATTTCGTAATTTGATACAATACCGAAAAATTTTTATGTCACATGAAAATGTAATAGTATCGCATGTACAATTAGACAGCAAACATTTAGAATCCAGATAAAACCTATTATAATTCGTGAAAAACGAAACACTATGTCTTCGTATTTTATCAGTAACATAGTTCAGAAGCATATGCTGGTTTGATTTTTGAGGGAGAAGCTTAAATGGAATTTAATTTGCATACAGAGTGCTGAGCGAATTCGAAAATTTGTGTGCAGACTGCGCATCGCTTTTTCTTCTCTCGTGAGAGCGGATGTGCTGGATTATCGCACGCGCGAATTTCAAGTTCTTCTCAGGAATAGTAAATCACCTAAAAACACGACGTGTATAATAGATAAACCTTTCCGCGGAAATGCATAAGAAAGATTAGATTAGCAAAAGAATAGATAGATTGCTCTAATGTAATTGCATAAATATTCTTCGATGTCTTGTTGTACTTACGTACATTGTTACGGCGGAAGTTTCGTGCGGTTCGCTATGCAGCATTATCTGGAATAGCGAAATCATTTGTTTTATACTAATTAAGTTTATCCGTTAATATACAGGGTGAGTCTTTCCATA